TTTATAAAGTTTGATATTAACATGACAACTAACCCAAGCAGTAACATTATATCTGTTGGATAAAATAATAAAAAGATGGAATTTGCATTTTGCTAATGCTTTCATTCTCTATTAATTTATTGCATTAAAAATAAGAATGGTCTCCAATAAAGTAGCTTGAGAAACACTGCTCAGAAGTTTCTTTTTAATACCAATTATTTCCTTAACATTTAACTGTAGTTTCTTCAAATATCAGCATTATCAGATGGTTATTAAGTTTTGAAATTTTGATATGCTAATAGCCTTTTCCAGAATAGTGTTCATTTAACAACCATAATGCATATTCAAAATGCACAGCTCCAGATACAGCTTTTGATCTAGATATGAGCCATGAATTTTTTCTCTTTCATAAATTTCATCTGCATGGTTACTTTTACTTCTTCCCAAGTTCTGAGATCCTGTTACTTGCTGGGAAATGAGTATGTGCTCATCAAATCTGTTGACAGCTTCCATACAAGAAAGGCCAGGAGAAAAAGAAGTCATTTCATGAAGAAAATTATTTATATAGTCCAATGTAAAATAACAAATCTCTATTCCCAATAACAATAAAGAGAATATTCTTCTTTCTCTCATAAATTTTAACAAATTTAAATAATACATCAAGAAAACTCTACACAGATGAAAACATGTAGCAGGGCAAAACAGGGCAGTTACTTGTGGTGACGTGGTTAGTTAAATGTAATGAATGTATGATTTGTAGTTTTATACTTTTAAAAACTCCCATGCACTACACAGTATTCAGTTAGAAGTCATGTTTAGAACGCTAGCTAAGGCTAGGAACTAGGAGCTCTTTTTTTTTCTACCCTTACCTCTGTCACTAAAACTAATTTGATGAATAGCCAAATGTGACTAAAACATGAAATTCAGAGATAATTAATATTTATCTGTATTGAGTCATTTGAATCATGAATTGCTATTCACTACTCTTTGAATTTTTATAATAAAGTTACTGCCATGAATTGGGGAAAATGTCGCATCAGGTTTACGAGGACAAAGGCTCTATTTCCACCCAAACACTCATTAGTTGAATGGCCCTGTGTCAGCCTTCATCACCCCCCTGGATTCTATTCCCTCCATTTGTTAAATGGTAAGATTTGACAAAATGTGCCCTTAGGTACATTATGGAACTACTTGTTCTTAAAAATGTGGCTTAAGAAATTTTTCTTAAAAGTTCTTTTACATTGTACTTATTCCATGAGAAATTATTTGAAAAGTTAAAAGCGTTCATTTACTCATAGTTCCAGTCAAACTTTTGAAAATGACAATTTTTATCTAATATGTAAATAAAACTGAAAGTGCAACTATATGCTCATATGTGGTTTTAAGATTCATTCTGCACAGAACTCAAGTTCTATTGTCAACCAACATATTCAGATTAATACTGCATTTCAAAGGACAGAATTACTTCATGAATAACACTGCCCAAAGCTGTATTCTTTCTGTGCATACAAATTAAGGAAGGACCCCATCCAATGCTATATTGTCTCTGTGAAGACAGATTAAGGAATTGTCCTTGTTGCTTGAATTTCGATTCAGAAAATAGCTTCCTGGGCAATCCCTTATGTCCTAAACTCTGCACGTTTATGTTACGTCATTTGGAGAAGCTGCAATACTTAGGGAATTTTTAAATTGATTTGATTAGAACAAACCGATGTGCTGTTGCATATGGGACCGTGAGATGGGTTGCTTGTGGTTATTTACCTTCATGAAGGGAAAGGGGGTGCAGAATATTAAACAAAGTCCAACACATGGCGGCATTGCATGTGATGACACCCACTCATTGTTAGTTCTCGGGTGCTACGGTGGGAATGAGGAGGTATGTATTTCTTGGTATATTTTTCATGGAACTTGAGTAGATGTAGGCATGCAAGGCTCAAAAATTACATCATAAAAAGTTGTTAATTTGTTCTTTTTTCAATTTTGATTCTTCCTAGTTATTTACAAAAAACTCTTTCCACTGCTAATGTGCTTCTAGCACCTCTTTTAATTAAAAATCCCCCTTGCAACCAAGAGTCAGGAATGACAAAGCCCTCTGCAAACAAACAGTACCTAACTATGATTTAATAACATTAATTTCTTCATAATTCTTAGATGTAGTAACCTATTTATAGCAACACTGTCTTTTTAGTCATGGTAGCAACATCAAGTATGTTTTTAAATAAGTTTATTCAAGCCCTAAAGGTGTGTTGATTTAGAGGAAGACTTTTAAATAAATAGTATGTGCCAGGGAAAATTTGCTAAGATCTGATATGCAAATGATTGAAGCTTAGGAAATTGTAGGATGGGAAAAGACACACTGAATTCTAGTTCTAAGATAGGAAACTGCCACAAAATCTAATTCTAACTCTGTCACTAATTATCAAATTGTCCTTGGGCAAGATGATGAATCTTTCATGCCTCCACTTCCTCATTATCCAATAAGTATAACGATATTTGCCAAACTAACTTTGGAGTGATGAGGGGAAGATTAAAATAAGTGATGGAAAGTGAAATACTATAAAAGTTGAAAGTTTTATGTACATAAGGTTCGATATTACATTCAGTTTCTGAAATATAAACTTTTTCTCTTTTTCACCAGTCAGACGAAGAAGAACAAAAAAGCTTACTATAAACATTAAGAAAAGGATAATATTATGTCTATTTCCTTTCTAGGGTCATGTAGTTTATTAGTGGTGATGATGAATGAGTGCACAGATGAGACGATGACTTGTATATTTTCTATATATGCAATATTCCTAAACTTAAAGCTATATTTGGATTTTTCAAATAGATATGTTGATTTTCACTATTTTCTATGGTGAAAAATCTTGAAAAATAAGTGAAGTTTTAAAAAATGAACCTGATGATATATTATATTCAAATCTTAATAAAAGTATTATGACCTGAATATAGAGCTATTAAAATAATCAAATTAGTTTAATACTAAAATTTTTCTTGACATAAAATACTATTAGAATGTTGTTTATTATAAATTTTCACTGTGTGTATAACTGCACATTATCTAATGATATGATGTCATTTCACTCTAGCAAATTTTTAGAATTTCTATGTCCAATTTAACATTTTATTTATCCTTGAAGTTTAGGTTATTGTTTGGTTAAAATATAATGATAAAGTTGAGTGTGTGCTATATTTTGATATTAGTGATTATCGTGTCATGGTTATTTTATTTTGGCAATATAACTTTTTACTTATTAGTTCTTGTATGAATTAGAGGATATTCACACATAGAGGTAACATTAATAATTGTGGCTTGGCTTCCATTCTACTAAACAAAGCTTGTGTAAGCACTATCGCTGCTGAATTTGAAATGATAGACATCATGTTCTCATTTGCACAGAAACATTTATGCTTGGTCTAGGACAGAAATTCTCAAATTTAAGCAGTTGTTAGGATCACCTGGAGGGCTTGTCAAAACACATTGTTTGATCAACGGGCAGAGTTTCTGAGTTAGCAGTTCTAGGTGGGCGCAGAGGGTTGGTGCTTCCGACAACTTCTCAGGTAATCCTGCAGCTCATGATGCAGCTAGGGCACTACTAGCAGACCCACTGATCTCGTGGGAGGTGGTATAGAAGCGCGGTGAAGCTGAGGGGCCTGGGTAATTTGTTTCATATCTACCTTTTGACACTTGTGAGCTTTGTATTGTGAACAAGTTAGGGATCAGCTTTGTCATCTATAAAGTTGTGATTATATTTACTAGAAATATTAAGTAAAATAATGCTCATAAGTGCTTAGAGCAATGCCTCACTAAATGTAATATCATTTACTAGAAATGATAGAGCAGTAATAGTAAAAGCAGTTATGAGAGCTACAGAAAAGAGTACAGTAGCAAACCCCACATTAATGATTTTATTTTCTAGGCCTTCAATTACTATGACTGACCACAGACTGAAGATGTTAAATAAAAAAAAAAAATCCCCAAAATTATTTTATGAGAATAATTCACAAGTTTTACTTGTTTGTTTGTTTGTTTGTTTGACACAGGGTCTCACTATGTAGTTGAGACTGACCTGAAACTCACTATATAGCCCAGGCTGGTCTCAAACTCACAGCGGTTCTCTTGCTTCAGCCTCCCAAGTGCTGGGATTACAGGCATGCACCACCACACCTGGCTATTTCATAAGTTTTAAATTGCATGCCATTCTGAGTGGTAGCATAGAGAAATCTCCATGTTTTGCTCCAACCCACCAAGACTGTCAGTTATGACTTTGTCTAGTGTGTCCATGCAATATATACTAATGACCCTTTAGTCCCTTAGTCACTGTTTCAGTTATTAGATCACTGAAATTGTACTGCAGTGCTGGTGTTTAAGTAACTTTTATTTTACTTAACAAAGGCCAAAATGTGCCACAGTCCTGATGCTGGAAATTCAGATAGGTCAAAAAGAAGCTGAATAGTGCTTCCTTCAAGTGAAAAGACAAAGGTCCCTAACTTAAGGGGAAAAAAGTCATATAATGGTGTTGCTAAGATCTATAGTGAGAATGACTCATCTATCCATGAACTTGTGAAAAAGAAAAAAGAGATCATATCAAAGTTTGTTGTTTCTTAAACAAAAAAAGTTAATGCCATAATACATAATAAGAACTCAGTTAAGGTGGGAAAAGCATCACATGATAGGGTTCAGGAACTCTGTGGATTTAGGAGTTTATTGGTGGTTTGGGAGCATATACCCCACAAATAAAGGGTGCATCCATATTACCTGAGCTCTCCTGTAATGCAAGTATATTATCTTTTCTAAAGGAGCCTGGCTCCTTTAGAGAGATTGGCTTTCATTGCTGAGATCTATGAAAAACATTCTGCACAGAAAAGGAATTTAGTAAGAAGTAGTTTCTCCATGGTACACTCACAGAAGGATGTTGGGAGATTAGAATCCAAATTGTAATTCAAGCAAAACCATCTCCATTTCTGCAACATTCCTCCGTATTCAGAACTCACTGCACTTGTTTCTTTTTTTCCCTTAGCAACAAGAGCAAGACCCAACAAATCTATACATCTCGAACCTCCCAATTTCAATGGATGAGCAAGAACTGGAGAATATGCTCAAACCATTTGGACACGTCATTTCCACACGAATACTAAGGGATGCGAATGGGGTCAGCAGAGGCGTCGGCTTTGCTAGGTAAAACTCTCTATGTGCAACCTGTCTGTATCCTGTTGTTTGTTTGTTTTTTCATCATTACTATCTCATTTCACTCCTTTCTAATTCTAGGGTGCAAAAAATACACAATGCAAAATCAAATAGAATTTAAAAACAACTTATCAAATCTGTCATCTCTCTTTATTTTGCTTCAAGCCAAAGAACCCAACCTAGTTATGAATACATTGTGCTTATTAAAATATGCACATAGAATATGTTTATGAGTCTCAAATCCCAATGATTGGCATACCTACTTCCCAGTTTTTCCAGTGTTTGTAGATCAACAAAATCAGATAGTGCCAACCACAGCCAGGGATAGTAAATATCCAGTATTTCAAAGCAAATGAGCTTTTGTGGTAAACAAAGTAACCAAATTATTTGCATTGATTTGCAAAGAATAATAGCAGATTTCTCAGTAGGGAGAAGGGAGAAGAGTAGAAAGGTTTAGAGAAGCAACAGTGATGGGAAAGTCTCAAGGAACACGGAAATATAAAGTGAGGCCAAGGAGCTTTTTGTGTCAAAAAGGTACTGGACTGTGTGTTTTTTATATTCTGGGCAGAACAGAAAAATCAAATTGTAATTCTTTCAAGGTTGGAAAAGAAAGAGAAAAAAGAAAAGAAAGAGTAGTTTTCATTTTAACTTTAAGAGAAAGTTTACAAAAGAGCATGATAGCCAGGAATAAAGTGAAAATAGTTGTACCTGCTGTGATTTCATGAAACCACAAAGGTAAAGAAACTTCTCCATGACAAAAAAGAAAATTAAAATCGTTATCTCCATGACTTAGTGTGCTTCTGTGTATCTCTGCCTAGCAGTGACATGAGTGAATAAGATATCAGGGTTTTTTTGGAAGTTGGGACACCCAGGCAGGTGTGTTTGCCTTGGATGAGCCCTGTCGTTGCTTGGAATAGCATTCTAAACCAACCTCTCACCCACATTGGATGATAACAAATATCATGAAAATGTTAAGAGATCTCTATCTTGACTTTTTTTGAGATCATAGAGCACATCTTCAAATTGTTTTCATTCTCCATAATGTTCTACACACAGCAGACCAGTAGACATAAATAAGATATCTACTTGATGATTAAAGTAAAAATCAGCAGAATAAAGAAATTCTTCCTCTGTTGAAAGCACGCCTGAGGCACTCGGGCTTTCAGAATGTTAGAAACTGTTGATTTTCATGGATAAGTCATAGTGGATGACACCAACTGGGTCTCTGAATTTTGCCAAGGTAGTCACTCTTGGTACTGTAGAGTCTGCTTTCAGAAATCTCAACAATGTGGAAGTTCTCCAAAATGACTGCTATGTCTTTCTTCACCTGACATGCACATTCTGTTGGCTTTTCCCCCCATCTTTGCCCTCCAAAAACAGTAGTTAATTAGTTCTCCTTTATTTGCATGTCTATTGAGAAACTAATACATTTCTGATTCATCAAGGTAATATATCCCTTGGACTGGGGAGGTAGCTTAGTGATGCCTCACCTGCCTGGCAAGTGCAAGGTCCTGAGTTCGATTCCCAATACCAAAAAAAAAGTGTGGAGGGGATAATATAATCCCTAAAATCTGTTGTAATTTTTCATTGTTACCATAAATGTTAGTTTGCTAGGAATGTCAAGGCAAAATACTCTAGACCGGGTAAGTAACAGCAATTTATTTTCTTATAATTCTGAAGGGTAGAGCAAGATGTCTTCAGATTGATTTCTTGTGGATCCTTCTCTTTGGTTTGTAGAAGGGCTTCTTCTCCTCCCTGTGTTTTCATAATGGCTTCCTTCTGCACATATCCTTGTCCTAATCTGCTCCTCTAAGGGCAGAATCATGTCAGATTAGGGACTCCTTTTTACTCCTTTAAATGTTGTGTCTCCAAATATCTTCACATTCTAAATAACTGGGGTTAGGACTGCAAAACATGAATTTGGAGGGTGTGCAGAAGTGCTGATAACCTGAAGACCAAAGTCTCAGCTCTTTCATATTGACCTTCGCTGCCTACTTTAGTTTGCTCAAAGTGAAGCATAGTCTTCTAAGTGAAAAGCCAAATAATATACATTGTAAGGTTAAAATTGAGCAATAGCATATGATGTCATGGAAAACTAAAGTTTACAAAATTAGTTTTCTTTAGGAACTGAGGAAAGGTAGAAATTTTAAATTGTTATTTTATCCCTTCTCTGAATGCAACTTTCTTCTCCAGGGCATTTTGCGTATAGAAGACAGTGACCATGCGCTTTATAATTCAAATCTAATCATTTTCCTGTCCTGTTTACAATCCTTTAGTGCGGCCTGGGTGGTTTTAGTGGCCAGCCTTTCCAGCATTAACCCCGGCATCCCTCACCTTCCTAGCCTTGACTCTTCCTGCCTCAGTGACCAGGGCACTTGCTCCCCATCTTGACTGTTGACAGTCTCCGCAATTGTTCTCCTGGCTTCTTGCCTCCTCAGCTCTCTGTTTCTGACTTGAACATTTCTCTTCAAAGAATCCTTCAATGACCTCCAATCCTAGGCTAGGCAAGTGTAGGCAGTCTTATCAAAGCTTTACTCCTCTAAATATAGTGTTTAGCTCTTTCAACTAAAATGTATCATACTTGCAATTAATTCAGTATTTAGTTTTTGTGTTGACCCATTGGACTGCATGATTATTTTCCTTTTTGTCATTGTTGGATTGGTAGATTGGTGGTGTATTTCACCATTCTATTAAGTTTCTGAATAGCTAAGTTCTTATTCTTAAAAGCTTAAGCTTTGAATAGGAGTTAGCAGTCACATGCCTCTACTGAATCTTATATCTCTGTGCTTTAAATCATGTATTTGTCAATTTCAGAAAGTAGGAAGTAGATTGAAAAGAAAAAAATAGGTTCAAGTCAAGGCACTGTATTCTTATGCCTAAGAAATAAAGAGAACATGTGAGTCTACTTCAGTGTTGTAAGACACCAGAAAATTGATTCAGAATGAATATTTCATTCTTCATGAAACTTAGACTTTAATTTTCAAGGAGTAAGCTCACCTTACTAATTAACCTAATTATAGGGAATGAAAAAATAACCTTAGCTCCACCATACGTAAGTAAATCGGCCAAAATTTCTACTTCCTTACAGGTTTAAACTTGTTCCGCATTTTTTAGACAGTTATGGCTATTGATTTAACTATCTAATACTTACAACCTAATCCTTGCACAAGTTCCTTCTTTTCAAAATGCTGTCCTTGAGAGCTCACCCTTTGAACCGCAAAACAGATAAGTTGTTTTGAGTCACATTTTTCTTGAATCTCCCAAGAATAGTACATAGCAAGTGAAAAAATTACTGGATTTTATGCAGATGTCTCGGGACAGTGATTCTCAAAATGTAGTTCTCAAGTGAGCAGCTTTAGCGTCACCTAAGAACTCCTTAGAACATAAGGAGTTTTTCTACTACTGACTCTTAGAATGAGGATGCTGATGGTGAGATCGGCAGGGATCTGTAATCTGTATCGATAAGACTTCAAGGGACTCTGCTGCTCTGTAAAATTTAGAAAATAAATTTACAACTGCATTAGGACTGGATCACATGATCATCTGGAAGATCCTTAGAAATTCAAATTGCTGAGTCCCAATCTTAAAGAGCTTCGAACTCAGTAAGTCTAGGGGAGGAAACTCAGTAAGTCTAGGGGAGGACCCAAACTTAAGTTCCCAGTTGACACTGCCAGTACAGAACTGGGGACCCCACTTTAAGGACTACTGCACCACAGTTGTCCATTTTTTCCAAATGGAAATGACACCTGTTGATGCCTCATCGTGTCACATGTAATTTGATTCTGAATATATCTTTCTTCCTGTCTCTCATGGGTAGAGACCATGGCTTCTTCTCCTTCCTCCCATTTCCAGCACCTACAAAATTGTTTTACATAGAACGTATCTTTAGTAAAATTTTGATGATAATTAAATTAAATTAAATCTCTTCAATTTCTTCCTTTCTTTTTCTTTCTTTCACTATGGCAACATGCAGGGAACATTGGAAGACGATGACAAGATGCTTCTGAAACAGAGTACTAGAATATTAGAGAAAACTACAGTAGCATCAGATGCTGTGGTTTATAAATTATTTCTTCCTCAAAAATTCACAGTACCACAAGAATTATTAAAAGAATTTCGTATTGAGTTGTGAGAATGAGAAAAACTATCCTATAATTGTGTCTAGTAAAGTTTTGTGCACCTCTCTTGAATTTATGATTATCTAACAGGACAAAATCTGAATAATTCTTCGAGTGGGCTTTATTTTCAATGTACATTGGTCACTTTTAGCTGTCAGATGTGGTCCTGCATTCATGTGCAAGAGGTCCTAAATTCCTTTGATTAGAAAGAAAATTCCCTATTATTATTCACTTACAAGCTCTACATTAAACTTCTTTGATAACCATCTCTTCAAAGTGAAAGGAGGATCTTCATTTTATATTTAAAACACTGAACTTCAAAGGATGGATGTGAATCCCAGTAGGGTGCACAGTCAGCACATTTACAGGCTTTTTAAAGTTCCAGAAGCACTAAATAGTGTCTGAAATTACAGACATTTTATTTTATTTTGTGAGTTGGCTTTTTTTTTTTTTTTTTTTTTTTCTTTTTTTTTTTTTTTTTAAAA